CCCCAAAACCCCAAAACCCCAAAACCCCAAAACCCCGCTTTTAAAATAAATATAGAAAATTATAAAAATGGTGTTCCCTAAATGTCAACATACACCTTGTCAAAAGATAGCTTCATACTACCTAACCAACAAGACCATTTACGTTTGCTCGCAAGACAAATTTGCACAGTACCCGAATCATGATTCAATTCTCCTAATCCCTTCAGACTCAATCTCAACTATCATAAGTATCATCAACGAATGCAGAAAAGAACTATTAACATACTACACTAACCAAGGGCTTTCAGACGAATTTGAAAAATGTAAAGCCTTCAGTATTTCCCTTCATGAGCAATGTGAACATGTCTTAACTAAACTCAAAACAGCTAGGCTCATCAAAGCTGCGTGTAAATACTCATCCCTACTTTCAGAGTCTCAAGATATCGAGGAAATTTTGAAGACAGACACTCTTTTCACTAGATTTGCAGTGGCCAAGTCTTGGAACGAAGCTTATGCCTCAGTTACTGGCCAGAACCAAAAATCCCCAGAATTAACAGCTCAAGAACTCAACAAGAAGTACCACCAAATGCTTGACAAGACATCTAAAAAACTAGGCAACCAAAGAAAGAGAATACAAAAATCCCATCAGCTAAAAATACACAATCTCAATTCCTGAATCAATTCAAAACTCTCACAAATATCTGACCTCAACCAACATCTAAAACACCAAGGGAAGTCTCACAAGGCCCAAATAGACCACATAAAATCTGCACATCTATATGAGCTCTCTCTTACAAACTTCACACACTGCTCAACTGAACCACCAACATCAGCACCACAGAGACAAAATCCAGCACATGGAGCTAAGAATAATCTCTACAGAAGAAGAGCTCCAGCACAAACAGGTTATAATAGGCAGATTAAATAGAGACAAAGAACAAATTTTTAAGGATCTGTGTGACCAAGCCAATGATTTTAGAGCCATGAGATAATTTATGCTTAAAAGGAATAAAACCAGAGATTTTGTTACACTGAGGAAGTTCTAGGTTGATTCTCACGAAGTAGAGTTAGGTTAAGAAACTAAGCTGGAATTGGGGTAGATGATTAAAGAGACGATGATTGGGGACTAGTTTTCAGGGTAAGGACTATTCATTAGTAGTCTTAGAGACTACTCCTGCAGTGATGAGTGGTGTCTGTTATTATGCATAACTCTTAGATCTGTTAAATGTTTTTCACTCATAGGATTTAACTTACTGACTCGAGTCTTTAGAAGCAAAGATGAAGTGTGATGAATTCTGCCAAGCTTGGATCTCTTTTATATAAACTCAAAGAAATATCTGATATTCAGAGATCCTTGAATAGAGACTCTTGATGCTATAGGAATATAATTGATCTAATATAATACACTTAATATCAAACAAGTTACCATCTCCTTAGGTATTCTGTGTTATGTAAGTCAAAGGGGTTCCTAAACCATCTAAGATGTTTCAAGACCTAGGCTATCTCCGGCACCCAAAAATCCATGAAGAACGATATCACTACGATCACAGACACCGTTTGCAAAGAAACCTTCTTGAGACTTTACAAGTCAATTATGAAGAAATAGTGTCTTAATCGGTCCGTCCTCAAGGCTGAAATTTGACCTGTTCGAGCAGAAAGATTTATTCCTCTTCAACACAATGACTTCAAGAATGCCTGACCTAGATACTTTGACCATAAAGTACCGGCCCAATCATCGGGAGGTAGTCAAGCAGTTCTTGGATGATTACTTTCCGAAGAAAGTGGAGAACTTTAGCTTGATTTGTATCTCTTATAGACCAGATTCACTTAACGAATATACTGAGCAATTAGAGTCTATCAGTGGGCAAGTTCGGGGATCGATAAGTGTCGATGGCCTCGAGCTCAGCCAACAAAACCTTGTTGATTATATTTGTACCAATAAAACCAAATAGCTCAGTTGGATTAATAAACTGCAAGCTTGAGCTGTCATCTTCCCTTGATTTTGGAACTGTTCTTTCCGGCTCAAGGCTCCAATCCCTCTCTTTTGCTAAATGTGGTCTCAAAGGCAACTGTGATTGGAAAGCTAACCTTGAAGATTTCAAAACTCTTATCTCTGCTCTCTCAAAATCAAAAGACTTCTCAAAAAGCCTCAAAACAGTATCCTTAACAGACTGAGGCTTATCTATACCCAAAGCCTCTCAGATCCTACAAACCTATGGGCTAGAAAGCATCCGAATCCAAGTCTCATCCCAAACCCACGAAGCCTTCCTCCAACCAAGGTCTACTTCTAAAGTCCAATTCTTCGACACCTCCTACTAAAAATCCCCCCATTTTCAAAATTTCCCAACCATCAAGGGGTTTTGGGGTTTTGGGGTTTTGGGG